CTGGCAAAACTGCTTGGGCATGAGAGCAGATAAGGGGAAATGATGCTGGGCATTAAGCTGCTGGGAATGGCAGAATCCAAATGTCTCGCAGAACCCAACGCCTTTCTGCGCTGTTCCTTCTCCCTACAAAAGCGCAGGTCGCCAGGGAAGTTGAAACTTGGTTTAACTGCAGGGGACAGGGAACCTCCAGCAGCTGCAAAGGGAGACTCGGCGGAGCTATCCCAGCAGCGAAGCCGTGGAAGAGCTCATGGTCTGCTTGTGGTTGCTTTCAGGCTCCTCCAGGAAAGGTGGAAGAGGTGGTGAAGTTCGCTATTGATGCAGGCTACCGCCTCTTCGACTGTGCCTATTTCTACCAGAATGAAAATGAAATAGGGAATGCAGTCCAGCAGAAGATCAAGGAGGGGGCTGTGAAACGGGAAGACCTCTTCATTGTCACTAAGGTACAAAGATGCAGGATTATGGGGGAATTTAGCTTTTCTCTTTGAGAAACCCTTGTTCCACCTGTAAAGTAACCTAAGTGTTGTCCCAGAAGTGGGATTGTTTACCCGGTGTGCAGTATGCCAATATACACACAGAGCAGAGGGATTTTTTTTTATTTTTTGTGTCTCCACAGAGGTGGGTGCTAAGTGGTAATTCCACAAAGCTAGCACACCACACACAGAATCTACCATGTATTTATCTTGTTACAGGATTAGAAAAACCTGCCTAAATTTATGCTAATTGGTTATTAATTATGGCATCATCTCCTATTGGTCAAGCATATTTAAATCAGCATGCATGCTCCTTGAGGGTGTGAGGGGTGTAATTTGCATAGTCCTTTAATTGGGTGGGTGGTTCCGAACCCCTGCAGTCACCTTTCCCTTCCCCCAGTTACTGCTGATTTTGGTTGACTTCAGGCCTCTCTGGCAATCACCCAGCTCTCAGTGCCTTCTGGGGCAGGATGTTTCCTTTTTATCAGTTTTTCAGCTGCCCTTCAAGGATACTCTTTAGCAAAGTATGCTATTTGTCAGTCTTTTGACTCTGCAGACTCCGCAAAGGTATAGTTGTTAGCGAAGCAAGTAGCGCATTTAACCTTAAAGTAAGCAGTGTCTAAGCACTAACCCAAACACATTTCTGTCCCTGTAAAGTGGAAAATTCTACTTTATAGATATCATAAGGACTTACTGCCTTCTATGATACTCATTTTGTGGTTGTCTTGTTGTGTGCTATAAATTCCATCCTTTATTTGCAATTTAGACTGAGCTTTACCTAAGGAACCATTGACAACTGGAAAGATAGTGTGGCTGTTGCTGATCTAATAATTTTCTTGCATCTATTAAGTTACTTAATTATACCGAAGGTTCATTTGCACTCACCCTAGGAAGATCAGAAAAAAAGACAATACAGATGTCTGAATTCAGAGGTGCTGTGCTACTTACTGGTTTGTAAGACATTTGAAAATGGTATCCTGTACAAAATGTAAGCCTGAAAGGGACTAGAAATTAAAGTATGTGACTTCAGTCTGAAGTATTTTCTGGGTATTTACTCCATTTCTCCATCGTATCTACTTGTCTCAGCAATGCGCTTTACCAAAAAGTGAGAACACTTCAACTAAAAAATTTATGACTTGGTATTTATTTTCACCAACAAAACCAGAAAACATTGAGCGTAACTAAGCTTTTCTACATACTCTTTGTTTTTGCTAAAGAACAGGTTTTAACTTGAATAATACTTGCAAGTTCTTCTATTTAAACAACTTGAATTTTCATTTCAAAAATGAAGTGAAATTGACAACAGTTCTCACTGTGGCCAGTTAAAAGGGACGGAAGGAGGGTAGCTGTGAGCTGCTCAAGACACAAAATTTGCTGAAAAAAAAATTGTAACACTAGCAGCTTTTGCTGTGTCAGATATACCTGGCAGAGGGTTACATCTAGTTCTGAGAATCTCTTTTCATAAGTCGGAATACTGATTATCCGCTTTCACTACTGACTCCCTTATTTGTGGTACGTTTGTCCTACCTTACAGTTAAAATATTGGCACCCATTCAGTGTGCACTGGGTATGTGGGGAGGGAGCTCTTCTCCCAGACCACCAAGGGAGAAGCTTCTGTCCCCTGGTCTGAACTGTGGAAGCCGTAGAGTCACGGTTGGGCTTGGTTTCTTCCCACAGTTGTGGAACACATTTCACGAGAGGTCCCTGGTCAAGGTAGCGTGCCAGAAGAGCCTCGCTGCACTGCAACTGGACTACCTTGATCTCTACCTGATACACTTCCCTATGGGATTCAAGGTAGTCCTGCTCTACATTCCTCATCTTCTTACCTGGCTAGAAACATGGCGTATTCTCTCATCTTTCCTGTGACTTTCTTCATTATGCAGCCGAGATATGCTATGGTTCATTTGGTTCTTCCCTGAACCCGGTAGTAGCAAGCATTTGGTTACTAACTAGGTAGTGGTATGTTTTAGCACATGGATCTGGTTTTCCATGCCTGATGGAGCGAAATAGTCATAAGTACGACCGCTGCTAATGAGTCCCCTGGGTCTTCAGGGAAAATGTAACCAGCACATAATGATGTAGTTTGGGATCGTGGTCTTCTGCTTGGCTGGGACAGTGTGAACATCTCAGATTTTGGAGATGTTGGCTTCATCTGGAGTAACCAACAGTGAAGCATGAAGCACAGTGCAGAAGGAATGTGCTGGTTTTTTTTTTTTTTCCCCCTGTCTACACCTATGTAAAATAAATAACTCTAGAATAAAGGTAGGGAGGTGTCTGTTCCCTTCTCTCTAGATCTGCCTAATTGCTACTAATCCCCACTCTTTGTATGCAGGGACTAACCTGTAGAAATATGGCCCTCATCCAAAAGAGAATACTGATGAACATGCATATTTTTAGTTATACAATATGTTTAAATAATCTGCTAACTTGCTGCCTATAATTCCAGTTAGTAGTGCTAGTAAAAAGAAGGAAATTAAACTCTTTTAAAAAGTCTATGTATTATCTCCCTTGAAATAACAGGCTGGTGAAGAACTACATCCTGTGGATGATAAAGGTATGAGTATCCCCAGTGATACTGATTTTCTGGACACATGGGAGGTAAGTTAATGTTTGTTCTTTGGAGCAGGTGTCAGAGCTAAAAATGGAGCAGAGATCTGCATGCACGATGAAATTAAGGGATAGGTTTGGGTATGGAGGATAGTCACACAACACTGTTTCATGACCAGAACAAGCAGAGCTGTTGCTACGCTTTGTTTTCAGGATCAGGAGGGGGATGTCTTCAATAAGAGTAGGAAACTGTCAGCACTGTAGGTGCTGTCACTAAAATAATATTTGAATATGCACAGTGGTAGAACTGAAGCATAGATTAATTCAGGTGTGGCTGTTAACTTACTGGGTGTTTCATACAGATAAGGAATTCTCACACTTTTCAGCATCTCGGGCTGTTCTTTAGTCCTTCTTTGCCTGTGGACTGAGAGGATTCAGGGTCTGCTCCTGCTACCTGCACCTCTGGGAACACGTAGTTTTCTCTACAATAGCAGATTACAGTTGCAAGAAAGTATTTTGAGCTAACTGAGTTTAAGCTAACATCCTCCCTGCTGTGTTCTGCCAACTCAGAAGTAGTGTGCTGGCATAGGAGGAGGTGGAGGGGTCTCTCTTGCTTTTTTAGCTCTGGTAAAATGACACACCCCCCCCAAAAAAAAAAGCCCAAGCAAAAGATTTTGCTTCCCATTACGAAAGGGTTGCCCAAGCCGTTCTTACATTATTTTCCCATCTGCAGTGGGACGTAAAGCATACAGATAATACGAGGTGCAAAAATTTATTTTTTTTTTTATTTGAGATGCTTTTATTTAATCTAGTGTATGTTGTTTGTTGGTTTGTCACTAGCTTTAGGGAAATAAAATAGTGTAGTTGACAGTAGTACCATCTCATAAATACACATTGGTTGTCCTTACTCATTAGGCCATGGAAGAGCTGGTGGATGCTGGTCTGGTAAAAGCCATTGGAATCTCCAACTTTAACCATGAGCAGATTGAAAGAATCTTAAACAAGCCAGGACTAAAATACAAGCCAGTAAATAACCAAGTAAGATTTTTATTTCCGTTGATGTCAACTAACCTTGAAGTAGTCCTAAATATATTCTTGCTACACTTCAGCTCTAAAACTGACTTCTGCCATGACCTTTAAATAGTTTTGGTGCCATGGAAGGATCTTGCAGAGCACTAGATATCTCTGGTTGTCTGAAAGTCCCTTCAAGTCAGCCTTGCATATTACAGGCAGTACTTTGGTATGGTGCCAGTGTTGATGGTTTTTAGCTGACAGGGACCTCAACAGAAAACTTTTTTGTAGACTTGTGCGTATATAATGCAGTGGAGATTTGAGAGCAATACCATACAAAACAGTATGGATTATTCATATTACAGTAATATGAAACAGATGAGAAGATTCCACTTTTAGACCTTGGAAAAAAGCAAAAATATCCATTACCTTGTTGTATTGGGTTTTCGTGGCAAGGTTTTGGTAGCGGGGGGGCTACAGGGATGGCTTCTGTGAGAAGGTGCCAGAGGCTGCCCCTGTGTCTGATAGAGCCAATGCCAGCCGGCTCCAAGACGGACCCACTGATGGCCAAGGCCAAGCCAATCAGTGATGGTGGTAGTGACTCTGTGATAACATAGTTAAGGAGGAGGAAAAAAAACCCCAAAACCCAGCAGTTCTTGCAGCCAGAGGGAGGAGTGAGAAGATGTGAGAGGAACAACTCTGCAGACACCAAGGTCAGTGCAGAAGGAGGGGGAGGAGGTGCTCCAGGCACTGGAGCAGAGATTCTCCTGCAGCCCGTGGAGGAGTGGGGGGAGGTGTTTTAAGATTTGGTTTTATTTCTCATTGGTCTACTCTGTTTTGCTTGGTAATACATTAATTTTTCTAAGTTGAGTCTGTTTTGCCTGTGACAGTGCTTGGTGAATGATCTGTCCCTGTCCTTATCTCGACCCATGAGCCTTTTGCTGTGTTTTCTCTCCCCTGTCCAGCTGAGGAGGGGAGTGACAGAGCAGCTTTGGTGGGCACCTGGCCTCCAGCCTGGGTCAACCCACCACGCTTGTGTAAGTCCTTGTGACTTTCTGCTACGTGTCCTCTTTCACACTCCCAGTGTCACAGCCCACCGTTTCTGCCAGCCCTGGGATAACCAGAAAAATCCCTGCTGCGAGCTACTGCACAGGCATGGGAATGTACAGGAGTGCTCCAACTCACTCACTAGACTTATTTTTCAACATAATATAAACCATTCCAATAAACTTTATTATAAAGGAGGATTGAAGTATACAGTTATACAAAAAATTCTCACCACATACCTCATGAATGAAATCACAGGACAGCAGGGGCATCAGGACCTTCTGACTTTCTTCCATATGTGCCCCATCCCACTCAGGGGGTTAGGGTGAGGTTAACTTTTTAATTCTGTGTGTGGTAATCAGGAGTAATGACAATTACTGTAGAGTTTCAAACCAATCATAAATTTACTTAAAACTCAGTGGAACTACAAAAGAGAGAGGCTTGGCAAAAGTCATAACAATACTCAAAACTTAGCAGAACTATGAAAGGTAAAGGTTTAGCAAAACATGTGACACTATTACCCTAATGTGCCGAAAATTAACTTAGAGAATGATAGAGAGGAAAAGGAAGAGAGAAAAGATATGACCACCCTTGGATCCAGTGATGTTCTCTGCTTGTAGTTGCAGTCTTCAGGTGGTGGGCATGCACCAAAAATGTGCCTGCCCCATAGGCAGGGGGCTGTCATCCCTGCGCAGGCGCAGTATGTGCTCAGGAATGTTCAGAAACGGTCTAG